CCCTGAGATCATGACCTGAGCCGAAGGCAGACGCTTAATGACTGAGCCACCCAGGCGCCCCCAAAGAGGGCTCCTATTAAAACAAGCTCTCCCCGTAAGCTCTAATGCACGGCATGTCTACGGGTTTAGGATAATACTTTGTGACTAGTGTTACCCATGCTGGACATCAGAAAAGACTTCTCTAAGGGACTTTCACCTGAGTTGAGGTCTGGAGAATGAGGGGACATTCTCCATGTGAAGGAGTGAGGGTGGGAGGTATGGTGATGAGCACCTAGTACTTAATAGGTACTTAAATTTGTGCCACACAGTGATGACACTGAAACATGGTAGTTGTTATCTGTGGTGGAGGTCCAGGTGAGGATCAGGTCTCTGATGGCATAGACAGAACTCATGGGATCATGTCCATTGGAGCTGTCCCTCAGAGCTAATGGGGTGCCTCCGAAAACGTCTGCTTGATCTTCTCACATCCCTGTCGGGACGATTACTATTACACAGGTCAATGGGTAGATTAACTCGAAGGGTGGGGAGGCTCAGTCTTACTCAACTTGTACCCACATTGATAGAGTTTTTTTAAGATTTTATTTATTTATTTGAGAGAGAGAGAGAGCACAAGAGGGGGGAGCGGGAGAGGGAGAAGCAGACTCCCCGCTGAGCAGGGAGCCCGACGTGGGACTCGATCCCGGGACTGCAGGATCATGACCTGAGCCGAAGGCAGTCGCTTAACCGACTGAGCCACCCAGGCGCCCTATTTATTTATTTTTAAAAGATTTTATTTATTGAGAGGGAGAGAGAAGGATAGCATGAGAGGGAGGAGTGTCAGAGGGAGAAGCAGACTCCCCGCTGAGCAGGGAGCCCGATGCGGGACTCGATCCTGGGACTCCAGAATCATGACCTGAGCCGAAGGCAGTCGCTTAACCGACTGAGCCACCCAGGCGCCCAGAGTATGCTTGCTTTAACACTGCAGTGGTGGTGTTAAAATCTTTTCTCTGTCTTTACTATAACTTTTCTGTAGGTAAACAGAGGAGTTCAAAAGTGAAGGATGTTGCAGCCACTGTTCACAGAAAACTGAAGACGTTCATGGAGATCACTCTGGATGAGGACAGCACGGAGAGGTAAAGCACTAGATGTGCTCCAGATGGACTTTTCTGAGAGTTATGCTACTCCGTAGATACATTTCAGATCCTATTCTCATTGCTGCTACTTAACAGCCAGGCAGTGAGAAAACAGGCTTGTAAGCACAGAAACGGCTCTGTTGGAAAACCCCTTGAGCGTGTGTTTAATTTACTCCCTAATTTGTCTTCAAAAACAAAAACAAAATTGTCATCTGGTAAATTCTACTCCAGAAAAATAAAGACATACAAACTTATTTTATATGGTTTTAAAACTAGACAGATTAGAGTGGTTTGCTATGTTTTTGAAACCATAGGCTTCAAATTTCTAAGACATAATTACCCAGTCCCCAGGCATCCACAATGAGGATGGGAAAGGTTCCTCCAGACTTTGAAGAAATACTGGTCATTTCTTGCTTCCTGGGTGGCCCGTTGCTGCCACAGGGACTGCTCTGAGGCAGGTGTTCACTGGGCTCCTCTGGTCGAGTGCCTTTGTTAGGTTTGGCGTCTGACAAACCTGTAGACTCTGCTATTAGCTGTGTTTGATTCTCAGATCAATAGCAAAAACAGTGTTTTTCTTACTGTTTTGTGAACTTCAGAACGTTAAGTGTTATAGACCTCTGAACTAGGTAATAGTTTTATGTATGCCTGGGAAAGTAGCCACTTTTCTTAGCTACTTTCTCCTTTGCAGAAAGGCTTTGAAAACCCTAAATTGCTAATTTATGAACAAAGACTGTTTTCTCTCTTCTCTGTTTACCTTTTCTTTCCTTTTCTCACTGCATTAGCTAGGACTTCCAGTGCAGTGTTGAAAAGCAGTGATGAGAGCGGGCATCCTCGCCTTGTTCCTGATCTTAGTGGGAAAACTTCTAGTTTCTCACCATTAAGTTTGACGTGAGCTGCCGATATTTTGTGGATGTTCTTCATCAAGTTGAAGAAGTTCCCTTCTATTCCTAATTTACTGAGACTTTTTATCATGAATGGGTGTTGGATTTAGTCAAATGTTTTTCTGCATCTACTGATGTGATCATACGCTGTTTCTTCTTGAGTCTTGTGATGGATTACACTCAGTGGTTTTTGAATGTTGAACCAGCCTTGCATACCTAGAATAAATCCCAGCTGGTTGTGGTAAATATTTTATACACTGTTATTAATTGTATGCAGTCGATTGATGGTGCTGTTGAGTTCAACTGTGTTCTTAATGATTTTCTGCCTACTGGATCTGCATTTCTGATAAGAGGGATTTTGCTTATCTTTTGTGATCCTGATATTAGGTGCATATGAATTTAGAATCCCTATATCTTCTTGATGAATTGACCCTTTTATTTTTACGAAGGGTCTCTCTTTATCTCTAGTAATGCTTTACCCAGAAAGTCCGTTTTGTCTGGTATTAAGACAACTGTACCAGCCTCCTTTAGCAAGTGTTTCCTGGGTATTTGTGGCATTTCAGTTAGAAGGCAGAAACCACACAGTGACTAGGACAGGAAAATCTCAATGTCAGAAATTCTTATCAGGGCACCAGTGTAACGAACTATCTGCTAGTGAGAGTTAAAGCGAACTCCAAAGCAGAGAGGAAAGGCAGATGTGAGGAGCAACTCTGTTCCTAGGGACGATGCACACCCCAGGACTGAGACTGTTCCATGGATGGAGAAGTCCTGAGGCCTTCTGATGGGATTCACTGGATATCCAGTCTCCAGGAGGCAGGGGAGGTGCCAGGGGAGCTGCTGGAACCAAAGCTGGGGCCCTCTGCCAATCCTGTGAGCTTCCATGTGCTGTTCTAGTCAGGTAGCTGCTGGCTGGACAGCCGCCCTGGGGGGCCTGGTGGGGACAGTGGCCTGGGGTGCCTTTACTGTTGGGGTCTCCTGGAGAAGGCTGGGTCTCTGCAAAGCCTGTGGTCTCTGCAGTGGTCAGAACCGGGAAGAGAAACCCCCCCGGACCAGGGCATTGACTTGGGCACTGGGGTAGGTAGGGGTTTGCATGACCTCGTTGTGAGCAAAGGGAATGCGTTCAACTATATACTTCATCCTAGAAATTATTGAATATTTACCAGGTGGTTTTAATAAAATTGGGTTTGCAACTGTATATTTGAAGGAGAAACTCAACAGACTCTTGGGTTTTATGAGCTTATTTATTTCTAGACACTTATGGGGAAGAGGGAAGTGATCTTCTGAGCTGGAGGAAATGAGGAGTGTTTGTATTTCAGAAAACCTACGGCAGTGTAAATATTTTTATCAGGCACATCAGAATTACAACCTATATAAATGATAAGTTATTTTCATAGGATATAACAATCTCAGAAGTCCAGGCATTTTTGTAAAAGATTTTATTTATTTATTTAGAGAGTGTGAGCTGGGGTAGGGGCAGATGGAGAGGGAGAATCTTGGGCAGACTCCATGCCCAGCCCAGGAGCCCAATGTGGGGCTCGATCCCATGACCCTGAGATCATGACCCAAGCTGCAATCAAGAGGCGGACGGAGCCACCCAGATGCCCCAGAAGTCCAAGTGTTTTACAGGATTTCTTTGTTCTTAGAAATAACATTTGCAAGGATAAGTTTTTTTGGGTGTAGAATGGTATGTATATACTATTGTGAAGATGTAAGGGAACAGGGACATTTGCTCCTTCTTAGAAATTTCTTTTTTTCCCACTTGCACAGAGTTTTAAGCTGAGTACTTGAATCGTGTTAGTTATATTGAGAGGGGAAAAAAAGGCCTCAGAAGTTCAAAACTGGGGGCCCCTGGGTGGCGAGGTCAGTTAAGGGTCTGACTCTTGGTTTCGGCTCAGGTCATGATCTCAGAGTCTTGGGATTGCGCTTTCTGTTGGGCTCTGTGCGGATATTTAATAGCTGATACACAGATGGCAAAAAGAGTTCTTCCCTTTAAGGTGGAAACATCTTAAGAAAATAGGACTGGACCATGAAACTCGGGCTCCCTAAATGTGCAAGAACCACACTATAGAAAACCAGTGTCTAAAACAAAATCAATCTAATGGAAAATAGACATTTAAGACTAAATTGAAAATATTACTGATTTGATGTTGGGGTCGAGACATTAAGGCAAGTTAACATCTTTAAGACCAGTTAATATTTTAGGCAATGGGGCATTAATTCAGAAGTGAACGTTTTCTTAACGAATAAGCGACTTTTCTCCCTAGCAGTGTTAGTATTCTGTTCACTGGTCTGTTGGGTGCCAAATAAAAAAGGCTTCTCATTGCACTTTAATTGCCTCACCTAAGATGACCTGCTGTAAATTGGACGTATTTTCTCAGGAGGAATGGCGTACGTTTGCCAGCACACTGGTGCATTTAAATGTCAAGCATGTTGTATTTATTACTTTCATAAAGAGTATGAAGATAGCAATAAGTTTATAATTAGAAATTTTAGAAGTATAAGTATTTCTTACGGTTCAGGTTATATCATGAATTTTTCCCACTGAGTAAATGGAATGTAATCATGAGCAAATTACTTGCCAATATTAATTATGCCTCTGTGCAGGCAACTTTGACAGTGTTCTGGGCAACCCCCAGCATTAAACCTTGTTATTAGACCTTGAAGGAAAGGCGTTCTCCCTGAAGAGATCACCTCTTTTTGGTTATCAAGTATTGATGAATAATACCATTTTATTCTGCTGCATGAAATTTTAATAGTCTTTTTAAAATGATTTTGGGACTGGATGCTTTTTATAGCTCATTTAGAAGCATGCTTCCCTCATCATCAATGCCCAGTGGACATTGGTGTAGATAAATTAAAGCTAGATGTAAATAAAAACAGACATTGTTTATCTTATTAATGTTTTTCTCAGAAAATGGATTCCGTCTGCCCCTCCTGTGGCTGTGGTCGTGTTGCATGTTCTTCAGCACATGAACACAGTCTGCTGGAGGCGGTGGGGCCTGATGGTGGGTGGGCTGAAGACTCGGCTTCTGACACAGACTTAAAGGCTTGGAGAGCTCAGGCGGGCGAGCACATTACTTGGTTCAAACGTCTTTTCACACATGAGAACGTTGGCCCAGGGAGGTAATTTGGCTAAGACTGGCCACTGTCCCTTCCAGCTCACTGCTGCGCTGGTGGCCTCCACAGGGCCTGTGCCTCTCACCGTTCACCATCCCACCTCTACACGAGGTGTCTGTCGGGCACACACAAAACAGCCACACATGTAGGGTAGCCCAGCAGTTAGGAACAGTCAGAACAGCCATTGCTCAAGTAACACTGGTGGGCCAGTCAGACAATAATAAGAGTCTCCAAAGAAAAAAATCCATTATACCCCAAAAAGATGATGTAGAACGAAAAATCCTAAATTAAAAATGTCCCTGACGTATTGGAGAGATGTCACCGCTGAGACTCAGATTCCAGACGGTCTGAAAGATCACGTTGGGGGGCGCCTGGGTGGCTCAGTTGGTTAAGCGACTGCCTTCGGCTCAGGTCATGATCCCGGAGTCCCGGGATCGAGTCCCGCATCGGGCTCCCTGCTCAGCGGGGAGTCTGCTTCTCCCTCTGACCCTCCCCCCTCTCATGTGCTCTCTCTCATTCTCTCTCAAATAAATAAATAAAATCTTTAAAAAAAAAAAAAAAGATCACGTTGGAGGAGTACCTCAGAACACAGACTTACTGATGAAGAGGAGTCACAGGGTAAAGACAGGTGAGAAACAGACCCAAGAAAAGCAGTCATCTAACAGATAATAGGGAAAACTTCCCAAAGCTGAAGAAATGGGGAATTTTAAAATTTCTTTTTTTTGTTTCACTAAATTCTGGATGGGATTAAATGGAAAAGAAATCACACCTAAGTAAGTCTGTGGATAAAATTATGGAATTCCAGAGGTAAAGAGAAAAAAATCCTAAAATCTTTCTAGATCTGTGCTGCCCTGCAGTGGCCACTTTGTCACATGTAGAAATTGAACACGTGAAATGTGGCAAGTCTGACCTGAGATGCTGTGTTAAGTGCATGCTGGGTTCTGAAGATAGTGTGAAAGAAACATTGTAAAGTATGCCGGTGTTATTTTTATGTTGATTACAGGCTGATGTATTTTGGGTATATTGAGTAAAATAAAATGTATTAAGATGAACTTCACCTTATTCTTCTGATCTCTTTTAATGAGGCTAGTAGAGAATTTAGTTACATGCCTGTTTGTACTGATACAAGGCAGGGCTGTTGTAGACCATGTGGTGGGTTAGTCTCCTCGAGGAGCAGGACACAGGCAGACACTCGCCGAACAGTGCGTCAGCTGAGACGTCACTGGGGATGGAGACTGGTGTTTGTGTCCAGGGCCAGCATCCCCTCTGAGGGAAGTGCTGGAGGCGCTCGTGGTTACCAGGTGGTGGAAGGGAACACACACCTGCAAATGCCCGTGTGAGGACTTCCCGTGTCTTGCGTGGGCTCAGCCCAAACCTGGCTCTCTGGGACAGGTGTGTAGGGCAGGACCAGGGGAAGTGATTGGAGTAGGTGTCATTGTAATAGTGAGTCTTGGGATAAATAGTTTTCATTTATCTTGTGTTTTTGTGGAGAGAAAGCCCATGATTGTGAAATGTACTTGTCATATTTATGAGGCTGCCCTGTATCTGAGTCTCGGTTTAGATCCTCACAAATGAGAGTACTTCTGAGTGAGTAAGAGTTCACCTACAGAAAACCTGGCCTGGTGTTTTGTTCGCGTGAAGAGTGCTTTGGGGACTCGGTGAACTGCTGTGGCCGCGGGAGCAGTGATGACGGCCCTGTTCAAGTGCAGTTTCCTAGTGATGGGGATTCTTGCTCCACCTCACATATGAGAAATAATCAGTGAAAGTTACTGATTATTTCAGCCTCTTGGAGTGTGTGTTCTGTTGCAAGACATTTCTAGGTTTATTTTGTGAAAATGTACATTTGGGTATTTTGGTCGCTGATTTCTGTTGTTAATCATCTTTCTTTATGTTTCAGGTTTCTCTATGAATCATCATCAAGAACTCTGGGAGCATTTCTGAATTCATAACCAAGCCAACATCTTTGGTCATGTGAAAACAGAGAAAAGGATTTAGCAAAAGTGAAATGAATGTGTATTTTTTAGTGTTTTTAATGTTAGTAGCCCATATCATAGGGGTGGGATTTATTTGGGGATTTATAAGTAGGAAACTCAAAGGTTCTTAAGCTTTTGCCTGGTGCCCGCGTTAATAATATATTTAATATGAAGGACTCTAGGTATCAGTAGTCAGTGCAGAAACCTGTGGTGCGAGGGAAAAGACACTTTTCTAGCAAATGCGGTTGTTTTAAAAATGACTTTTTATATATATATATATATATATAAAATGTTGCTTAAACTATGAGTAATAAAAGCGATGACAACATCTGTTTGTGTACTTTATTTAAAAATATTAGTATGAGTCTTGCCCTTTAGAGACAAGGGTTGAATTCTGCCAAGAGTAGAGGGTGCGAAAGCAGAGGGCAGGGCCGTGCCAGGTGCAGGGAAGAGCCTCACGCAGGGTCCTGTCGTGGCCTCCTCTTCTGGTCTTGATGGTTCTTTCCTGGATGTCAGGATGGGCCGGTGGCTCTAAATGTGGGTGACGGAGAACTGAGTCCTTCAGCCTGAAGGTGAATTGCTGTTATTTTATCTTTTCTTTCTGAGGTCTGACGAGCTACCAGCCGAGGACCATCCCCGGGTTTCCTTGCTGCGTCGCCCACGACCCCAGCTTGTCTGCTCTAGGTTACCAGGTCTGTGTGTCCCTGTCAGCCACAGGCCCTGCGTCGTGGCGGAGCCACTGCCTGTGACAGATGGGACATGCTCATTCTGTCCTTTGCCCCCAGCAAAACGGTAAAGAAACACCAATTTCACTGTCTGTTTCTCTAAGAAGGTACAGAAATGGACTGCTTACCACAGTTATGAGCAGTTAGGGTAAGGTTTTTCCGAGGTAACTGAGAAATGGGAGGTGGGGGTTGCTTATTTTAGCTAATTTTGAACAGAAGACTTTTAGACATCTTTGCTAAGATGTTTTCTGTTTTGGCAAATGTGATTTTTTTTTTCTTTTTTGTCCTTGCCGGTGTTTGTTTTAGTATTAAGAAATGAACTGAGGGGCGCCTGGCTGGCTCAGTCGGTGGGTGCACCACTCTTGATCTTGGGGTCGTGAGTTTGGGCCCCATGTTGAGGGTAGAGATTACTTAAAAATAAAATCTTAAAAAAAAAAGAAATGAATTGAGGAATGCTCCATCTTTCTATATCCCTGGAAGAGTTTGTGTTAGATTAGAAATAGTTCCTTGGATTTGTTGTAACAATCTCTGAGCTTGGTGCTTTCTGTGTGGGAAGAGGTTAATTAGCTTTTTAAATTTATATATGAGTTTTCAGAGTAGTCAGGTTTTCTCTTTTATCTTGTGTCAGTCTTGATGGGAGAAGTAATCCAATTTGTGAAAAAACATTCAATTTCTATCGGGCCAAAGTAGTTCATAAAATCCTTCTCTAGGTATATGCCCTAGAGAAATTCCTGTGAATGCATGAGGACACTCAGAGGACCTGTGTTTGCAACAGCAAGTGGAAGTAGCTCTGACTCCCTTCAGAGGGAGAGTGGGCAGGGCGGTGGTGGGGTGTGGGGTAACTGTAGCTCCTCCTCCATTAGGGATGACAGGGCGAGTGGAGGGCACTTCCGGGGCCTGATGTTGAGGGAAAAAGCAAGTCACAGAATAATAGAGTGTGATTTCATTCTGGGAGGTTTAAAAGCATATGAAACAATGCTGTATTGCTTATGCTCACATAATGTATCAATATACTATTATATTAACATGTATTGATAATATATCAATAAGCAAGGAAAAGATGATAGAACTCAGAACACTGAGTATGGGAGGGAAGGGTGGGAGAGCATGGAAGATTCTTCAGAGATAACTATAGAAATAAACTGGAAACAGATATTTCTGTGCTCATTTTACTATTCATAACCTTACACATAGTCTTTTGTATTCACTGTTTTTTTTTTAATTTATTTATTTGAGAGAGAGAATGAGAGAGAGAGAGAGAGAGCATGAGAGGGAGAGGGTCAGAGGGAGAAGCAGACGCCCCGCCGAGCAGGGAGCCCGATGCGGGACTCAATCCCGGGACTCCAGGACCATGACCTGAGCCGAAGGCAGCCGCTTAACCAACTGAGCCACTCAGGCGCCCTTGTATTCACTGTTTAACAGAACTGTAAACAGAGTCAGATGTAAGGAAGAGAGAGAAAGCCTAGACCTCTTTGGCAAAGGATGTGTTATCAATTTGGAGGCACACAGACACAGATTTCTACACCTGTGAACACCACTAGGCTAGCTCCCGGAAGCACAGAAGTGGTGGCCACGCAAGGTGAAGATGCCAGAGCACCGAGCAGACCATGGACGGAGGCTCAGAGAGGTGCGTGCGCTAGTGTGAGCACACAGAAGGCCAGAAAACCCAGGGGAGGACACAGCGCTCACCGAAGCCAGATGTCCACCCTGGGGACAGGCCCCAGGGCATGGGCAGGAGTGGCCCAGCAGCAAGAGGGAACGCAAGTCTTAATGCCACGTGTTAACATCCAACAGAAAGCCCTGTGCCACCCATTTACACACAACAGAAAGGTTTCACACCACAGCCCACGAGCAAAAGCACCCTCCAGGGATGAGGCAGCAAACAACAGAGACAGCATGACGTGACTAAATTGGTTGGTGTCCCCGCCTCACTCATCAGACACCCAGGGCTGGCTTGGTGGCATGAAAACCAGCCCCAGGGCAGGGAGGGGGGCTCCGCTCCCACTTGGCCTCTGCAGTGGCTGCCACCACCCAGCGGCCCTTGTTATGGTCCCTTATTGCGGGACCGTCTCTCTGGCAGACTAGTCGGCCGTTTGCTAACTGCAGATCCGTGAGGAAAGGTGACGGTTCTTTAAAAACTGCCCTAACACAAAACATTTAAACTATAAACCGTTTCTAAGGTGAGAACTATTTCTCGACGTAACCCTCAGAATTGAACAAGAAGAAACTGGGAAGACGTGGCTGAACCACCTTGCTGATTTTGAAAATACTCACCATAAAATACAGTGACGCCACCCTTGGGACCACTGATGGCTAACTCTCCTGCCTTTGTCCTTTGAAAAAGAAGTGACAGTGCGCATGCCCTGACCTGGGACAGTGGGTCACAGTAAGTGTCAGAGTGGGGTGAAGGCCTCATTCTGTGCTCCTGGAGCAGAGTGGCTGTGAGGGGTGAGCATGCCTGTAAAGGGGTCCAGGAGCGGGGCGCCCGGCTGGCTCAGTCGGTTAAGCGTCCGACTCTTGATCTCAGGGTTGTGAGTTCAAACCTCACGTTGGGCTCTGTGCTGGACGTGGAGCCTAAGTTAAAAAAAAAAAAAGTGTCCAGGAGCACATGCTGAAGGCTCCGTGACTGCCCTGCTCAGGCCCACGTTCTCACGGACGTTCTGGCAACTTTTATAGCTGACTCGTGACTGAACCTCACTTCTTTCTAAAATAAAGGGCATTTCTGAAGGATTAATTTCAGCAGAGGTGTCTTTTTTTTTTTTTAAAGATTTTATTTATTATTTAGTTGAGACAGAGACAACGAGAGAGAGAGAGCATGAGTTGGGTGAGGGTCAGGGAGAAGCAGGCTCCCCGCTGAGCAGGGAGCCTGATGTGGGGCTCGATCCCAGGACCCCGGGATCATGACCTGAGCCGAAGGCAGACGCTTAACCACTGAGCCACCCAGGTGCCCCTCAGCAGAGGTGTCTTAATTCACCTGCTAACGTGTTATGTGGCTTTTCTGTCATGTGGCAGCCATTTTTTGTTTTTTTCCAGGAAGGGGAAACTTCCTGATTTACATTTCTCTAGATTCCTGGCACCAGCATCTGACAGGGAGTCCTGTGTCCCTTGGGGACATCTCTGCAGCCTCTGTCACTCATGGCACATGAAGCTCCTCCCACTGGTGACACAGCAAATAGAACAAATGTGAATAAGCAGCCTGAATGTATTTGAGATGCTCATGCAGAACAGTTTCAAAAGGGCTCTGGATCTCCTGCCTGGAAGACACACAGATGGGCGGGGAAAATGTGTACAAAGGGCAGACATGAGTCAGGCTTCCGATTCTTGCCCGTAAATCAACTCGCCCAGTAGAATGGACTCTCGCACCATGACCTCTCCAGGTTCAGCTACGGCAGTCTTTACCCCAGCTCCATGGTCGCCCCTCCTGAGTATTGGAGAGCACACAGCGTGCTGACCCATGTGTCATGGCCACCAGAAAGAGCCTCCATGACTCTCTACCCTCATCCAGCCCTTCCACTCCTTGGATGGGGCCCACAGGGTGAAGAGTTTCCTTTAGTTACGAGGTACATTGTGGCAATGCCAATTTGGCCCCGTCCGGAATCTGGTAGATGGGGCTCTGGTCTAGTCTGGTTGCAGGGTTGATGATCATGCACCAAACACATTTATCTGCACAACAGCCCACACTGATCACCCTCCATGTGGACTTACACTCAGTTAAGTGGTAGGTCTTGCTTTCCTTATAGAAAAGAAAATGAGTTTTCAGAGATAATAGCTCCCATTCAAATACATCTCTGTCTTGCTGAAAGACCACTATTGATAAGTTTCTAGGGTAGATCATTTTACAAAATAATAGTAAATTTCTGGGATAAACAGCATGTGGATTCATGCTCACTGAGGGGCCCTGTGATAGTCTGGGTAACGGCTCACAAAATATTTGTTATCCCTGGAACCTGTCAGTGTTACCTTATACAGCAAAACATTTTGCAGATGTGATGAAGTTTAGGATCTTGAGTTGGGGGAGGTTATCCTGGTTTATCCGGTGGGCCCTGATGCCATCCTAAAGGTCCTGTCAGGGAACCGGGGACAGACTTGTCACATGCACGGAAGGCAGAGTGACCACAGAAGCTGAGACTGGAGGGGTGTGGCCACAAGCCAAGGACTGCAGACAGCCGCCAGAAGCTGGAAAAGGCACACACGGAGCCTCCCACTGAGGCTTCAGAAGGAGCACGGCCCCACAAGACCTCGATTTATGCCAGTGAGACCGCGGACTGCTGGCCTCCAGAACTGTGAGAGAATGCATTTGTGTTGTTTAAAGCCCCACAGTTTGTGGTAATTTGTCGAAGCAGCCACAGGAAACTCATACTGACCCCACCTTCCACCATAACTCAACACAGGCGTAGGAAATTCTGATGTTGGGCAGCTTCCCCCAAAAGATCACACTTCCATTCTGGTGCACCGTGTCCTTGCCCACCCACTCCCAAATGCCTTTTCTGTTCAGTACACATGGAACGCAGCAGGGTCTCCTGGCCAACATGGGGAGGCAGTCCGGCGTCTGAGCCGCCATTCCCAGTGGGGAGACCCTCCTGGAGGGAGTTCCGGGTCCTCC